CCTCGGTGCCCAGACTGCTAAGTCACCAAGCCTAGCAGCCAGGGCCTCACTCTGCCAGATCTAATGTCACGCTTGAGGCCTGCCAGGGAGCCCTTCCTCGTGCACCCTTTGGGACTATCCTCATGTACCAGCCTCTCCTCCATGCTGGCCTCCAGGCTTCCACCATCTCAACCTCTGCATCCCCCAGCCTCCCCACTATGCCCCCATGGAGAGGGTTAGCACGGGGGCAACCATCTGCCTCCTTCTTCTGAGCACTCCTGAGCACTCCTGGGGATGCCATTTCCCAGTGCCCCTGCAGGGGTCGCTGCTAGTCCTTGCACACATTGCTCTGTGGCTCCTCCCACACCACCCACTGCAGAGCAAAGTAACACTTCTCCAAAGAGGATCCTGATTAGCCTCAGCCAATCATGATGCTCCCCATCTCTTGCCCTGAAAGAACTCCCTCAAGAGATGGGTAGAGAAGTTAGTATGTGAGTCAGTTCTGACAAGGAGATGAAAGGGGAGGTCTACTCAAGGATTCTGGGAAAGAGTTCCTTGCCGTAGGAAGGAACCCAACCAGCTCCCCACTTGCCAACACTTTGCACAGTGCTGCATCCACCCACAGGGGCACCTTGAACTAACCGGTAGGTACCACAGCTCTGGACACACCAGCCACAGCCCATGTCCGCTCGTGGCAGAACTCGCACCTGTCACAGGGCTCCCCTGGCAGCTCTGGGACCCAAGGGAACCAGGGCCCAACCTGAGAGTCCCTGCTGAAGGGCAGTCCTGAGCAAGAGAAAGTGTCACTTGCCACAGCACTGTGTGGACTGTTCTGTCTTCTGTCAACTCCACACAGATGCTGTGTTTGCTTTATATCATGAGGGAAAGTGAGCCTTTCCATGAATTATAAGCATCAGTTACATGGGACAATACAAAAACGTCCCACTGAGCAAGAGCTCAGATAAAAAATCAGCAGTCACTAAAGCCGCATTACAAATTTTGCTCTGAATTTCCCGAAAGCCAAAGTTCAAGGGGAACCTTGGTCAGTTACATAATTCTTTGTTCAACCAACCAACAACCTGCCAGGACTGACGGTGCTCTGCTCCTCGCCAGGCACTGTGCTCGGCACAGGCTGGGGGTGAATGGTGACAAGACAGGTACGACTCTTGTCCTCATGCAGTTTACTTTCCAGTGGGGAAAACAGATTTTTTAAAATGCAAGTAAGCAGACAAATCAGTAAAATGTTTGCAAATTCTAAAACATGGAACAAAATTAACAAATAAGGGACTGAGAAAGAGAATAAGGGTTATGGGGAAGTTCTACTTACACATATACATACACACAAATAAAGGCAGTCAGGGAAGGTCCCCATGAGGAGCAAACAATAAACTCAGGCCAATGGGACATAAAGGAGCTAATCATGAAAGGAGAGGGAAGGGAGGCCAGGCAGTGGGAACATCATGTGCAAAGGTCCTGTGCCAAGAGAGAGGTTGGATAAAACTGTGCCCCTTGCTCCAAGCCATACATTGCATAACTCTGATCCACCTCCTCATTCTTCTGGGAGTCAGTAAAAATCTGCTTCCCCACTGCACACATGAGAAGCCACATGTCAGTCTACAAACCCCAGCCCCCATCCAACTGCGGATTCAGCCAAGCCACCCCAGGCACTGTAGCACTTCAGATTTAAGACAAGAGAGTCTCATCCAGCCCAGGTTCCCACAGGGAGAGGTTAGATATGCAGCTACTCTCTGGGCCCTGGGATCCCAAGTGACCCACTGTTATGGGCCCAGAGCCCTGGGGTTCTCCTCATCAGGACCATAGAACAGCTATAAATAACACACAAGGCCTGGGGCCCCTGGAAGTTCTCTGCATCCTCGCCCCTCAGACCACGTGTGCTTGGGTCCACAGTGCCCAAACCATCGATGCAAAGAAACCAATAGAGACAGAGAACCCTGGAGAGACTTTGTGACTTTCCTTCCTTCCTTCACTCAATCAATCGTTATACGACACCTACTATGTGTCAGGCCCTGTGCTTCCCAGACTGAGAGGCTTTGGAAAGAAAATGAGAAGCCCATTTTATATTGTAGAATCCCATTTTGGTAAATATAGTAGCTTGGAAGAAAGTCAAAATTAGATAATACATAAGAGCTATTATCTCTTTACTGTGTATATTGCCTTAACGTTTTCTGAAGAGCCTGCATTACACTTAAAATCACATAGAATGATTCCAGGGTTCCCCACCAGGAACTCCCAGACTTGCATGAGGGGAGCAGTTGGCCTCTTGGTGCCAGGAGTAGGGGTGTGGGAGGTGTGGGGAAGAAACGTTCTCGGTCCAAGCTTTAGACCAGTGGTTCTCAGCCCTGGCTCTGCTCTAGAATCACCTAGGGAGCTCCCTAAAGTACTGGTGCCCAGGTCCCACCCTTAGAGGTTCCAATTTAACGAGCCTGTGTGAGTCTGACTGACCACACAGATTTTTTAAATCTTTCCAAGTGGTTCTGAAGTCCCCAGGGCTGAGGTCCACTGGAGCCATCTGGTTATTTTCCTGATTTACATCTCCGTCAGAGCCTCCCCCTAGGTCCAGGGAGGGTGGTTTTGTTCCTGCTACCCCTAGGGCCCCACAGAGAAGGAGCCTGGGCTGGCCTAAACTCCACGAAGCAGGGACTATGTTTTGTTTGTCACTGTGTCCTCAATGTCTCAGCCCAAAGCCTGGCACAGGTGAGAAGCTCTATGAAAACTGGTGGCACAAGGGGTATAGGGAGGGAGGAAGGGAGAGAGGGAGGGAAAGAAGGAGTCCCACCCTCCCGCATCTGGAGCCCTCCTTCCCTCCCTCCAGAGTGCCTTAAATCCTACTAAGTGTAGGCTGCAGACCAGCAGTGTCCCCACCAGGTGCTTGTTAGAAATGCACCTTCAGACCCTGCCCCAGAATGAGAACCTGCATTTCAACAAGGTCTCAGGTGCTTCCCATCATATTAGTGTGTCTTCAACTGTGCTGCATTTTAAAATCACCCACAAAAGTGTATAACCTGCCATGGACTTTTGTGGGTGCTCACCAAATGTCCCAGGCAACTACTTGCAGCCCAGGTTCAGGACTCATGCATCATGGGTCTGTCACAGTGCTCTCCATGTGGGGCCCCCCCTTGGATCTGGCTCATCTGACAGATCCTGCCCCCATTTAGGATACAAGCCAACTGCTCTACAACCCAGGGACCACCCACTCGGTTCTACACAGACCCTCGGGGCAGACCCAGTTCAAATCCCATGTGTCACTTCCTAGCTGAGTGACTCTGAGCAAGTCACTTGTCCCCTCCATGCCTGTTTTCCTCCTCCCCTCTGCAATGGAGCTAGCAATAGGGGCATGAGGGTGGGGGCGAAGAACCTACTACACAGCGTGTGTGAGGGTTAAATGATCTAATTGCTCCAAAGCACCTAGAAGAGCCTGGGTTAAGAACCTTGCTCCTACTTCCATAAAGAAGGCAAAAGAGAAGGAAAGTGGTTGTAGTGTAGGGTTCCTCCTGGGAAAATCAAGACTAAATGAAGAGGTTTAACCATCTGCCCTCTTTATTTTCATTATTCCTTTAGAAAGATCAGCCTCACCAGGTCTTTAAAGAGAGCCCCCAGCACCCAGAGGAAAGGCTGAGGTTCACACTGTCAGCAGCCCTGCCAGAACCTCCCGCCCCCGATCCCAGGAACGCGAGCCTACGCCATTGTGCCCAGGCAGCTGCAAGTCCTTCACAGCGGGGTCTCTAGGTGTCCCCCCTGGGCCCTGAAAAATGGTGTCCCTCCCTCCCTCCCTCCTTCCTTTCTCCCGCCGGCTGTGCACAGCCACCTCCGCTGCAGACAGGCCGGCGGGACGGGCGCCCTCCCGTCCGAGCTCAGCCCCTGCCTTTGCTGCAGATGGCGCACGCTCCCGGCTCCAGCGCCTGCTAGCCGGCGGCCCGCACCCTCCCGGTGCAGCAGCATGCGGGCGCTGTGACGTTCTCGGATAAATGCCCTGTAACTGTGTAGGCGAATGAAAGCTAAAAATAAGAACGGAAAATCTATCATTAAGGTATCATTGCGCCAGCGCAGCTATTTGAAGGCTCCCATAGTCCCCAGCGCCTGCGTTTGGAGCCCGCCCTCAGGCTTTGGGGGGTGTTTGCAGAAAACTCCCGGCATGGGCTGGCCCGCCAGACCTCAGGGCGCTTGGGTGGCGCCGGTAATTATGGCAACAATGAAAATAAAGCAATACTCCCCTCCCCCTCCCCACCTCACCCCCTGGGTTGCCCTTCTGTCGCTGGGGAAGCCACCGGGAGTGGGGCTGGATGCGGAAGTGAATGTGGCCTGGCTGATTATGCAAAGATTAGGATTAAAAGGCTCTGTTAGATCCACTTTACATCCACCTTCCTCCACCCAACTTGGATCAGAAAAATAAAGTACCAGGAGGGAGCCTTTGGAGAGAATGACAACCGGGACTTTACCCCAGGTCTCCTGCATCGGCAAAGGGGTGAAAGACGCAAACTCTGGAAGTACGAGACTCCAGGGTTCCACAGGGTTAACAGAAATTGATGCGTTTTGCTTTTTAACACCCGAAGGGGAGAGGGGAGACCAGGGGCGGGCAGACAGGGATTGTGTTTGTGCGTGTGTGTCCGGGAGAGGGAGGAGGTGCTAAGGTACAGCCTGCGTGGCTCAGCGCCTGGCAGGCTGCGTGTGTCCCTGTCCGCGCCGCTGAAACGGGCTCTTCGAGGGATCGGCGTCACATGACTCCGCCTGCCCCTCACCAGTAAAGCAGCTCCCCACTCCCTCAGTTTCCCAGGTGCCGAGGGGCAGAGTCCTGTGGCATCTCCTGGGCCCCAGGGCTCTGTGAAGCGGAGAAGAGGTCTCGGCAGGGAATGGTACATCTGGATTGCAGAAGTCGTGGCTAGGCGCCAGGTCCCGGAGTGTAGACATTTGGGGGGGAGGGGGAGGGGAGAGCGAAAAGGAGCGAGCCAGTGCCAGAGAGAGGCAGCACGCAGCGCACTGACTGGGGGCTGCCGGGGCCACGGAGAAGATGTAAGCGCGGGGGTCTAGCTGGCCTCGGAGCACCATGCAGAAGGGGATCCGGCTGAACGATGGCCACGTCGCGTCCCTGGGGCTGCTGGCGCGCAAGGACGGCACGCGCAAAGGCTACCTGAGCAAACGGAGTTCGGACAATACAAAATGGCAAACCAAGTGGTTCGCGCTGCTGCAGAACCTGCTCTTCTACTTCGAAAGCGACTCCAGCTCGCGGCCCTCAGGGCTCTACCTGCTGGAGGGCTGCGTCTGCGATCGCGCGCCCTCCCCCAAGCCTGCGCTCTCAGCCAAGGAACCACTGGAGAAACAGGTGAGGCCAGCGCTGCACCTGACCTCTCACCACCCTGGGGCTCAGGGCCTCCGGCTGGCCAGTAGGACCCAAACTTTGGCTCCTGCACTCTTAGCACCCCTGGCCCAGAGGATGGTTGACCCAAGCCGGGGGGGTGACCCCATGGGTGGGTAGAGGGTGCAGGGACTGTGGGGCAGGGAATACGTGGGGGTTTCGACTGCCCTTCATGGGGAAGCTTCCTGGGAGCAGGACCAGAGGGGCCAGGAGGTGGAGATGCGAAGGGAGATGGGGTCCAGGGTCCAAACACAGATGATGAATGTGAACTTATGTCCAGCCCCAAATGGTGCTCCCTATCGCCACTCCCACCCTCAGCCCAAGAGAGCCCCTGTTGTCCGTCCAGACCTGGGAAGTGTGATTTCCAGTGTGAGGCAGGGGAAGGGCGAGATGGAGGCATCCCTGTGCCGCAGCCCCAGCCCTGCCTCACTGCAGCCGGGAGCAAAGAGGAACCTTTGCTGGCTGTGCCAAGTTCGGGGAATGCGGTTTGCAGGGTCGGCTAGGTGCCATTGACCAGTGTTGGTGTCCCAGCTGGCCCCAGGCCCCAGCAACAAACCCAGGGGTTCCAAGCACCCCACGAAGGTGCTGGGCTAGGGTGCTGCGGAGGCCGCGGGCAGGACAAGGGGTGCCTCTCCTCCCCCCCCACCAACACCGCCCCCCCCGCGCCTCCACCACCACCGCAGTCCCGGCTACAGGGCTGCTGCACTCGCATTTCTTGAGCTGCCGGGCTAAAGGGCCAGGCCTGAATGTGACGGGGCTTGGTCCCAGTGGGAGTGCACCTTCAGCGTGGAAGGAGGGATGAGCACCTGCCGCCGCTGAGTGGGAACAAGGAGACAGAGAGAGCAATTTTTAAGCTCGATGCCCTCACCAGAGGCATCTAGTCCACCCCCCTGCCAATGGGAAAGTAAAGTGAAAAGCAGTAGATCCTAAAGTGTCAATGCTGGGAGGGACCTGAGAGTTCCAGGGGGGGCCAGCCAAGTGGTTATCACCCAGATGAGGACTCCAAAGCCCAGAGGAAGTTACTTGTCCAGTGTCATGCCAAAAATTGAAGCTACCTCAGGGCTATGAGAACGAAATGGGATATCAGAAGCCATTGCTTCTGACTGGGGGTGGGGCATGGGGGATGAACTGGCTGACATGAAAGCATTGCCTGAAGTTGTCCCCTAATTGTCAAGGCAGCTCTGAGCATCTCTGCAGCACACCTCCCCGTCCCTGCCCTCAGCCTGTGGGGCTGGGGGTGTGGACAGAAATATTTGAAGATGGGTTTCTGGGGATGACAAGCTGCATGGCAGGGACTCCCAGATGGCAGAGCAGAGCAGAGAGCAGGCAGCTCCTCAGGCTGAAAAAGCACAGAGGAGTCTAGAGGACCCACGTGGGAGAGCCAGACCCAGACCAGTCAAGAGACACTGCTCTCAGCTTTTGGTAATATGCCCCTCCCAGCCTTCTAGAACACTGTCCCCGCTTGCCAGCCAAAGTCCACCTGTATGCACAACCAGCAGCCTGCAGCCCCAGCAGGAGTCCCTACCCCAGAGCCCAGAGCTGAGTTCCCAGGCAGGCAGGGAGAGAGGGGTGGAGGGAGCTGACTGGCTAGTGGGCTCACAGTGTCTGTTCCCAGCCCCTTGGAAGCCAGAAGCACACCTGAGACTCACTGCTCTGCATCTTCCCGTTGGTGGGACCTCAGCTCACACAACTTCTCTGAGCCTCTGTCTTTAATCTCCAGAATGGTGATAAGAACCCCTACCATTCTGGGATTTTGTGAATACAATTAAATGATGTATAGGAACACAGGCTCACAACACATTTTAGTTAAATCTAAGTAAACTTTAGCTGAATCTGAATTATATCCACCTGGACAGGGAATAAAGTCCTAACCAAAGTGTTAAAGCTGAAAGGAACCTCAGGGAGACCATATAGCCTCTGCCTCCTTTTTCACAGATGGAGGGCTGAAGGCCAAGAAAGCGGGAGGGACTTACCCAGCACCACACAGTACATCTGTGGCAAAGTCAGACCTAGCTTTCGTCCTGTGTCTAACAATTCCTGAAACTGAGATCCCATGGTAATTCTAAGTCATCCAGCTTGGGGCTCAGGCACTGACTCGTGCTAGCAGTGGGTTATGGGAGGAACAGGAGGGCAAAGCCAACTGATGGCCCCCGTGTGACAGGGCACACGTGTTCAGAGCCCTTCCCCAGAGTTCCACCTGTCAGAGAGCCTCAGCACATTCAGTGCGTTGCCCTCTCGTCACAAAAGAACATACCAGGGTTGAGAGCAGTGGCTGACGGTCTGGCATGGCCCAGCTCAGGTACAAATTTCCACCAAAGATGCACTATGCCCTACACTCGTGTGGATGTTCCATTTGACTCCAGAGTGAGCATTTGCCACACATGGAAAAGGAGCTCCTCCTTTCACCAGTGTGGGTCTACAAAACTATCATTTTTTTCCCTTCTAAATCTTTTTTTAAGACGTTTATTTTTAGAGAGAGGGGAAGGGAAGGAGAAAGAGGGGGAGAAATATCAATGTGTGGTTGCCTCTCACGTGTCCCCTACTGGGGACCTGGTCTGCAACCCAGGCACATGCCCTGACCGGGAATTGAACCAGCGACCCTTTGGTTTGCAGGTCCACGCTCAACCCACTGAACCATACCAGCCAGGGCTATCTTCTAAATCTTTGAGTAAAATGGATGACCCTAGCAGCTAGCTGCTCCATGTTTCTCCTTGACCCAGGCGCCTAAAGGCCCCCACAGAGCCCTGGCCAGATGCTGGACTCCCAGCCACTCTGAGTGCATTTGCCTTGCACTTGGGCCCACAGGAAGCCTTGACTCAAAACCTGCCTGCACGCAGCAGAGTACCCACACCAGGTGGCCTCCATGAGACTCAGCATTGGTTTGACTGGACTATCTAGTATCTGGGGAAGAAATAGTTTTAGCCAGATATCATTTATACCCAGGTCTAAGCAGGCAGCTTCCACCCAGAAGGGCCAGGGATGGTTTCTGAAAGAACAGAAAGCAAATCTCGGCTGGTTGTCCCCCAGTGGCAGGAATGAATGGGTCAGGGATACAGCACATAGTAGGTGCACAGGAAATGCTTACTGAGCTGAACTTGCTGGTGTAGCATGTTAATTCCCCATTTTACATCCTAAGGGCTGACCAGGCTCCAGTCCAGGCCCTGTGCTGTGCCACAGGCCTAAGAAGCTGGCTTCTCATAGTCCCCAGGCCCCTAAATAAGGGTACCTCATGGTGCAGAGTTGCTCTAAGAGTGAGATGGACAAGGTGCTGGGATACAAACGCACAGGGCATCATGTCCACCCTGACATAACATGCTCTCTTCTGGCTGCTTCTACACAGTCTGGCTGTGTCTGGTGCAGCCCCAGGGTCTTGGAGCTGAGGTCAGAGACTCCCAGGCCTCCTGAAGTCAGACTAGCATGGCCTGCTCACGTGCCCACTGGCCCTTCCCTGGCCTGGGCCCTGCCTTCTCAGTGCTGACCTCCTCTCCTCCTGACCCAACAGCCACACTCAGGGGCACAAATCCCTGAACTTCAAGTTTGGGTTCAGCTTCCCCAGAGAGTGACCCTTGGTGTCCCTTGCCTGGCTGTGGCATGGAGTTACTGCAATCCCACTTTTCCCACACTCACTCCAAGCCCCCTGGAAAAAACGTCCAGCCACAGCTTCTCACTGGGGGACCTGCCCAAACCAACTCCAGCAATCCCCTCACCCCCCAACCAGGAGCAGGTACAATGTGGACCCCAGGCTCTTCCTGAATCACGGAGGGCAGAAGGGACGCATCCAGCTCCTCTGAGTGCTGGCACTGGTGCGGGTGGGGGCTGCAGAAGCTGGGGGGCCCACAGTGCCCGCTATCTGCCCACTGGGTGCCTTTTCCCGGAGGCAAGAGCAAGCCCACCCCTGGCCCTGATCACAGGACATGCAGCTGGTACCCAGTGGATTCGGATCTAAGGCTCTGAGTGTGCCCAGTCCACAGAGGAGGGCCAGCACTGCCCAGCCAGGCGGTGGCGGAAACGCCGCCTTCTGTGGCTTTCTGACCCTACAGCTCCATGTTCCCCCAGCTCACCGTCCTGTTGCTTTAGCGCTTTCACACCCTGGGCCAAAGAGAAAAAGGCAAACGTGAACGAAAGTGCGACAGACTCTAGGTTGAGCCGAAAGTGACACCCCTCACACACACACACGTGGCGCCAGTAACTCAGAGGTGGGGACGCTGGTACCCAGAAAGGCCAGGATTCACTGTGCGGGGTGCCCGTCTCCGCCACCCCGTCCCCAGGCGTTTCTAGAGCTGAAAAGGGGTTTTACAGCTCGATAACTGGGCCCTAACTGGGAGCAGGAAATGCCAGATACCGTGCCCGACGCCTAGACTCGTACACAGGTGACTTAGCGGCTCCCGGGGCCACACCCGCGCCGGGCCCCGCGTGAAGGAAGCCTTGAGCCGTGGGTTGCAAGCGCTCCCAGCGGAGGGGAGCCTTCGGGGCACTCAGCAATGACCACGTGCCGGGGCCGTCCCCGGACCGCCCGGGCCCCGCCCCGCATCCCGCCGCCAGGGGGACCCTCTGAAGCACAAGAGAGACCGGGGCACGGAGCTTCTCACGGGGATGGTCGGGGGCTCCAGCGCCCTTAGCAGGGAAGCACCCCGGAAGCAGAGGCCTGAGCCGCCCAGCCCCTCCCCGACACGGGCCCCCAGGCCCCGGCAGCGCCTCCCTCACGGCCTCCCCGCGGCCACCGAGGCCTGTCTCCCGTGTCCCCTCTCCGCGGACCTTCGCCTTTACAGCCTCCTCCCCGCGCTCACTCACCAGTCCGGGCTCCTCAGCTCGGGCAGGTGCCGGAGGTCCGAGCACGCGAACCCAGCGCCGGGAGAACAGGCGGTGTGAGGGCCGGGTGCCACTGAGTTGACTCGGGGTCCTGGAGGGGCCGAGGGCCGCTCAGGGTGAGGGGACTCTGCGCAGACCCTCGGGCGGACGACTAGCAG